TTGCTTCATGAATATGCATCTGATGATGCTAATGATGAGCATGTTGTAAACGCTGTACGTGAACGTGAACATATTTTAATAAAAACCTACAAGATCAGGTGAATATCAAATTTCAGTATCACCTCAACCAACATCTTCAATTTCTATTACATAAGCAGCCTAATCTTCATCATTTGTCGCTACCTTCATCAATGTGAAGGTTCACAGCAAGTTTTGCTGCTATATTTTAGTATGAAACCTACTATAATTCTTGTTGACTTTTTGACCATGATGGTAAAATTAAGTTAGCATATAGACTTGTTTCAAGTAACTAAAATAAATATTTTATTCTGAATTTTTAACACGAAAATCTATAACTAATATCGGCGCCAGAAGTCAAGGCATGTGGATATTTTTTGAATAACTGTCGATAGGAGCAAGCTAGCGAGCTGCGGTTTTCACCAGTCGAAAGAGACGACACTAGGACATCTTTTTTACGAATATTGTATAGCACAAAATCATTTTAAAATCAAACGTTTTTTCAAAACCTCGAAAAAAGGCATAAAAATTATCTGTCGTTCGTATGAAGCTTTGGCAAAAAAATAAGAAAATTTGCTTAAAAATTAAGAGAAATTCATACTTTTCGGGAAAGTGAATAAAGATTTTGATTTGCTTAACATTATAATAGATGAAGATCATCATTCAGATTACATCTTAAACTATAGATTCCAGGTCCTTCTATCCAAATCACATATCAATACCAAAATTTCCTCGGAACGACAGACTCCTTTTATGGATGTTTTGCAATGTTGTACAAAAACGATTGATTTTAAAATGATTTCGTCTTATACTATATTGGAGAAAATGATGCCATAGTGTCGTCTCTTCCGACTAATGGAAACCACAGCTCGCTAGTTGTTTCCGTTCTTAAGTTATCGAAAAAAAATCCGCTTGCCTTGACTTCTGGCGCCGATATTAGTTTGCGAGACTTTCTGCTGCAAAATATTAAAAAGCTATAACTAAAATTTTCTATATTGTCTTTTTGTCAATAATGAATTCGTTTTTTCATCAAATGCTCCCACTGTATAAGAAGTGCAACAAATTTAATAATGTTCCCTTAGAAGAAAAAGAACAATCTTCAATCTTACTTAGATTTCATTGTCTAAGGAAATTAATACATTCTGCAATATTTTGTTGAGCATCATATAAAATAATATCATAATTTTCACGAATTAATAAAAGGCGTGTGCCATACTAAAAAAAATCAATGATAACCGCATACTTGAATATCGTGTGTGTTCGTCAGCTTCATGTTCACAAATGAACATGACCGAGAGAAAAGAATGAAAAAATAAATTTTTTGTTGTCTTTTCTTTCTCTTGTCCGTAACTTATCGTTTATGTTATCATTGATGATCAATGATAATATGGCATAATGATCACGTTTATCAATTAAGCATTATCCATACCCATACATTGAGATAAGTCCACCATGAGGATCACAATCCAGTAATTTCTGTGCCGGTCGCAAGTCCGGAAAAAGGAGGAGCGTTAAATGGAAGGGGTGCAGATACCGTCGTTAGTGAAAAAGAAAAGACGAAAGAAACCAACCATGAACGGTCAACGTCAAAAACCATACCGGCTCGGACATCGGCCGGGTGAACAAGATCCGCGTCCTCTGTCGTGGAACTAGGACAGAGTCGAAAAATTGGCTACTAGAACAAACCAATCGAACAATCAGTCAGGTAATAACAAGAAGCCACGCAATAACAGTACCAAAGTTATCAATGCCAACGATAAGAAACCAGTTACAAGCACAGACAACAGCGAACAGCCATGTATCAAACAAATTAAAATTGACAAAACGTATCTTCACTGTGGGTACTTGGAACGTTCGAACATTATGGGCAACTGGTAAATTGGAACTATTAAGAAATGAAATGAAACACTACAGATATGATGTTATCGGCATATCAGAGGTACGTTGGACAGAAAAAGGTGAAACAACAAATGGTGATTTTATTTGGTCAGGTGAAAGCAATACACATACAAAAGGTGTGGGAATGTTACTAATTGTAAAAGCTCGTAAAGCACTTCTCAGCTACAATCCAGTTAATTCAAGATTAATTTCGGCACGATTTACAGCAACACCATTCAACTTAACAATAATCAATGTTTATGCACCAACATCGGAAGCGTCAATGGATGACATTGAAACATTTTACGGCAATTTGGAAGAAGCGGTGGAGAATACTCCAAAAAAGGATATACTCATTATTACTGGTGATTGGAATGCAAAAGTGGGTGATAACAATACAGGATGGGAGTCTTTCATGGGTAAATATGGCTATGGTACAATAAATGAACGTGGTGAACAAGTATTGGAATTTTCAACATCTCACAATCTATTTATTTGTAACACAGCATTTCAACAAAAACCAAATCGTAAATGGACGTGGAAATCACCAGATGGCATACACAAGAACATGATCGACCTGATTCTCATACAAAATCGCTGGAAAATATTCCTCACCAACTGTAGAACTTTCCAAGGAGCTGATATCAGCTCTGACCATTCCTTAGTTTTATGTAATATCAAACTACGATTGAAAAACCTAGCAAACAAACCGCAACAGAATCTGCGACACGACACCAACCAACTCAAGGACCAAGCAACAAGAAACAAATTTCAAGCAAAATTGGAACACCAGCTGAATAACCTCTACACCAACTGCAGTAAAGATGAGCATGTTTTAGAAATTGAGCAAGCAATGAAACAAGCAATAAAAGCAGCTACAATTACACAAACAACATCAAAGAAACCCTGGATTTCTCAACAAACATTGATCCTAGTGGATCAAAAACGAAAAGCAAAACAAACTAAACACATCTCATCGACCAACAACAAAAGATACAAGAATCTTTGCAGTCAAGTGAAGAAATCGGCAAGAATGGACAAGAACAACTGGATTCAAGAACAATGTGAAGCAATTCAGATGGGATTGACAGTAGGACACAACAAACAAGCGTATTAATTGGTGAAATTGTTGAAAAAGAAGTTTTCACAAAAACTGACCAGTATCAAAAACAAGAGGGGCTACCGGGACTTATTTTTTCGGGACTTATTAGAATTTTTAATAAATCCAGGATATTTCTTTCAAATATCTTCTATTGTGTTACTATGATGTTTTTATATAGGATATATCCCGATAAATTCCAACATAAATAAATTTTTGGTGGGATTCATTTTTTTCTAGCGGATTTATTCCAAAACCATTATTTTATTGTAGAGTTCGTGATAGAAAATTCATTAAATTAAACAATTTCTCACTGGATCACTTTTGTATTAGTGGATCTATTTAAGATACATGCATGTCTACAGCAGCGTTTGATGGCATTTAACTCCAAATATGAATTGATTCCATAACGGATTGATTCTTTTTGCAGCGGATATATTCTTTATACAGTTAGATCGATTGATAATGTTAATCATCATTCTGAAATTTTCACTATTAACTAACGATAGCGAATGACTAATGTTTAGAGCGATGGGTTCCACATTTATACATCTAAGGTTCGAACCCTTATTCAGCCACTCTATTTTTGTTGCTTAGCACTTATGATTAATATGTCATAAAATGGTCCATACTACAGTACTAATAAAAAGTCTTTGCGAATACTACTGAATCATTATCTTGCTTGGTCTATTTAGTATGTGTCATACTTTTCTCACGTATATTACATTGTTACAGTGATGTCGCATGTATACATATTCACTATTCTTTTTATCCTCTATTATCTCTGTGATTATTTAATTGGTCTCTTTGTTTTCTTGTTCTTCATATATATTCCATCTATATCATACACTTGATTCGGAACTGTCTTTTCGATTACGTCATACAGTTAGTCTCTGTACATCAAGGACATACATAAAATCGTGCATATACATATACATGTATATATGTATATACAGTGCGCCTCAATTGATTTTCTCCTCTTGATATTTTTTTGTTTTTATTGCTATACTTCTTTTATTTATTAACCTATTATATATAGAAAGAAAGCCGGGAACGCGCTGCATTTTTTGGTATATTTACATTAAACATCAAATGCAACTTAAAGTGTAAAAGATGTATTAGAAAAAAAAGTGACATTTTTTTTACTACAGGGTATCCACAAAATGGTAACATTTTTTATTTCGCGTATATCTCGACTTTGGTAAATGATAATATTTTGAATATTTTTTCCAGAAGATGCGCCGTGAAAGGCTCTACAAAAGCTGTATGATCGGATTCCTTTTTGCATGTAGTGATGGTTTTTCTTATACTCAAAATGAAAAACCCATATGACAGTGTCACTATCCATCATATTGAAAATGTTTGGAAGACTTTTTGTTTTGTATATATCTTGACTTGAGAAAATGATGGAATATTGAATTTGTTTTTGAAAGATGTGCCGTCGAAAGCTCTACAAAACACGTATAGACCAAATCCTATAGCGAATCAGAAAAGTCCTCAAAATATTTTCTATATGATGGAAAGTGACACTGCCATGTAAGTTGTTCATTTTGAGTATAAGAAAAACCATCAGAACAGGCAAAAAGGAATTTGATCGTACAGCTTTTGTAGAGCTTTTCACGGCGCATCTTCTGGAAAAAAGTTCAAAATATTATCATTTACCAAAACCGAGATATATACGAAATAAAAAATTTTACAACATTTTGGACACCAGGTATTGTAGTGAAAAAAATGTCACTTTTTTTCTAATACATCTCTTGCACTTTAAATTGTATTTGATA